CATCACACCTGGCTAATTTTTGTATTATTAGTAGAAACGGGGTTTCAACATATTGGCCAGGCTGCTCTCAAACTCCTGATCTCAGGTGATTCACCTGCCTTAGTCTCCCAAAGTGCTGGGATTACAGGCATGAGCCACTGTGCCTGGCCAAGAGAAATATTTTTTAAAAGAATTCAAGGCCAAGCATGGTGGCTTATACCTGTAATCCCAACATTTTGGGAGGCAGAGGCAGGAGGACCGCTTGAGCCCAGCAGTTTGAGACTAGCCCGGGCACATTGTGAGACCCTGTCTCTACAAAAACTTTAAAATTAGCCAGGCATGGTGGTGCATGCCTATACTCCCAGAATGAATTAAATGCAACTATGTATAGTTACAAAACAGAATACAAATATCATAAATAATGCTTAACACAAATATATTTTTTAAGTAAGATTTAAAAGTGTGGGAGATGTTGGTCAAAGGATACAAAATTTCAGTTAGATAAGAGGAGTAAGTTCAAGAGATCTATTATACAATATGGTGACTATAGTTAACGAGGATGTATTGCATTTTTGAAAACCTCTGAGAGTAGATTTTAAGTATTCTCACCACAAAAATAAGTATCTGAAATACTACATAATGCTAATTAACTCGATTTAGCCATTCCACAATGTATACATATTTCAAGACATCGTTTTGTACATGATAAATGTATGTAATTTTTATTTATTAATTAATTGGCTCCCAGATTCCTCCTGGGAGTCACTTTCCGAAATCCCAAGTCCACTGGTCTACATTAGAGTTTATGAATCTACATTTTAAGTAAGCTTCCCAAGGCGTTAAGAGAATCACACTTTGAAAAAACTGCACCTCTTCGTTTTCTAGTTATCAAGTATAGATACTGTCCATAGGACCACTGGAAAATAAACATTTTTTCTTTGAATACTTGTGGTTTCCTGTCCAACTTACACTGGTGACTTAGTGGGGTACACAAGGGAGTTCAGACACTCAGTGAACCTGGCACAGTGGGGAGCTATAAGAGAGGATGTCTATCCATGAAGGGAGAGAGCTGGAGTAGGATGCCGTGGAAGTGGTGATGCCATATGTCTCAAAAGATACCAGACTTACAACTGCATGTGAATCTACAGCTATATCACAATAAGTAGAAACTTTCAAAAGAAAATCCCTAACAGAGATCATCCAACCACTGGCATGGGCAGGTGCTACGTATGTGCATGGAGAAGAAGTACTAGGGTGTTTCCCAGGGATCTAGTGTTAGTGTCAACTCCTGGACCCAATCCTTTGCATTAATTTGGAGGACGGAGGTGAAATAGCTGTCAGGATGTGGATGGTACTGGGAAGTGTGAGAGTACAGTTATGCACACTGCAGTTGCCATGAAAAAGGGCGGTAAAGTGGTGTGAGCAAACACTCGTCCAAAGGAGACAGACTGATCATCTCGTCAATCGACTCTTTATAGCACATCTATGGGACTGGCTGTCAATCTCCAGATGAGTGTCAAACAATGGCTAGTAGTTATGAACATGACATATTTTGAAAACCTCCCTTGGAAAAATAGCACAAACTGGGGACCCAGGGCCCAAATGGTTTGACAGTCCATGGAGGCAGAGCCAAAAGATCTCACTATTCTAAGAGGATAGCAGCAGCTAGAGGGATCAGGAGAATATTAACAGCAGTAGAGATGGGAGGACAAGCCATTTTGGTATCAGAGTCCACCATCACCAGTAAAGACTTGCTTTGAAAAGAGAGTCAATTGGATACTAAATGCACTGTGTAGGTTTCTAGAGACATTCCTCAATCACAATCAGTCAAAAGCAGTCCCTTGAATCACCCAGGCCTGTCCTTTACCTGGACACAAGTGGTACAGTAGGGAGAATTCTGAACGATATCACCCAAGCTTTGCGCAGGCCTTAGGCCCATAGGCACTGTCCACCTTTCTATGCTATTCCAGGTTACTAAGACTCTGATGCCCACTGTGCACCCCAGTAAGCCACCGAGGTAATCTGCTTGCCTTGATAGGCTCTCTCGGCATTCTGCACAATCACACAGTCTTGAATGTCAGGTGCTGCTATGTGGAAATCTACCTGCTTCCCTAATAGATACAGCCAGGACACAAAGGTCTCTGGTTTATGACACTCCCATAGTAGAGCTGCCTCCACAGCTCCTTGAAATTCTGGATCAGGGACTGACATCTTACAGGTAGTTGGTATGACAGAGTTCAATCCAATGAAAGGAAGACACATTCCCTTGTGTGTAATGAATCTGCGGGTCACTTATTCAAACTGTAATAGTCGGAACTCAGAAGCTGGATGTCAGGTCCCCTCAGGATTGTCTTTCTGGGTCTTAACTGTAGCCACTCCTACACAGGGTGATTTCCTGGACTGGGGCCAGTCTGCAGAACTGAGACTACAGGAACTACAAAGACTAGCTGGCCCCACATCAGCGGCAGAACAAGCACCACAGCAATGCATTAAGCCTACATGAAATAAGTGTTGAATAAATGAGGTAGTGATTCAGTGTATATTTGATCCACTGCAACATGGTGGGAAGGGGGAAGAGGGAGTTACTTCCTAAAATAATCCTTCTTCAGACTCTAAAAGAATTGATCTTTGTTTTCAGTTAAAATCTATCTTCATTTAACTTCCAGTCCTTTGCCCTACAGATAACTCTCGGGGCCACATCAGTTCTACCCATTCTTTCACATGAAGACAGATGTCATGTTCGGAGTGATCTCTCTTCGCTTCCTTCCACCAACCCTTATCTGGCGGCTCACCTTTGACCGAGCTCCAAAATTCTACGTATAATCTCTTAAAAGTGTGGTACAGGGACTGCAGTACTCCACGTGTGGCCTGACTAGTATGCAGTACAATATTATCACTCCATTGCTACAGAGGGTGTGCTTTTCGCTGTTGTCACAGAAATGTATATTTGGTTAGCTGTATTTGTTAATGTCTCATCTGCCTTTCCAGCCTTCCCTCACTTTGTGCAGTCATATTTGTCGAGTCAAGTAAAAGTTATAACATTTAGGACACAATGCCTGACTTACTATAATTACCATTATTACCTCATTAGCTATGATCATTACAAAACAGAATTAGCACTTAGCTCTCAGGCCCTACCTCCTTGAGCCTCAGAAATGTTGATGCTACACTGCGCTGCCATCTGCTTCCCGTTTCGCCCCTAATTAAGCGCCGGCCCTGAGATCTAAGCGTCCGCCCCACCCACCACGCCGAGCCCGAGGCGGGAAGCTCTGGAGGTAGCTGCTGATTGGCTGGCTGGGGCGCAGCTTGATGGCGTCGGGCTTGCGAGCCGCTGTCCCGGCTGCGACACCTGGGCGAAGGCTGCCTGAGTGAGGGGGCCGGTGGCCCCAGCGTGCAGTGGCCTCGGGGAATGGGAAGTGGAGGCAGGAGCCCTCCCTACACTTCGCGATGAGTTTCCTGATCGACTCTAGCATCATGATTACCTCCCAGGTGAGTCACCGCCTCCCGCCCCGACACCCATCAGCCTCCCTTTGCCGAATCGCCCCCTCGGGTCCTCCTTGGTGCGGGCTGGTCCGGGGTCTCGCTCCCCTCACGCGGCCTGCGCCCGTCACTCCGGGACCCAGAGCGTGAAGAGGGTGTGAGATTGGCTGCGTCCGGTTCCCTGAGCCCCGGCTGTCGGGAGGCTGGTCTGCGGCCGTCCGTGGCCCCACCCCGCATCCGTCCCCGGAATTTCGGTCCGCTTTTGGAAGGGACCGGGGTCCGCCGGCCTCCGCGCTCAGAGCCGGCGCCGCCAGCTGAGAAGCCGGCCCTCGGAGCTGCTCGAAGCTTCCGGGCTGCGCCGCCGACCCTGGACCGGGGAAGCGTATGTGGTTCCGGGCGCCGGGCGTGCGGCGCGCCAATCAGGGCTGGATACTGGGGGCGCGTCAGTGCGGGCTTTGCTGTTAGATGTCACATCCTGAATCCTGGTATGGAGACGTTTCCTGCTTCAAAATACCAATACAAGGTTATACCTATACTTAAAAGTATTAGGTTTTGTTTTTGCGCTGACACCTCATCCTTTATCCTCAGCTTAATTACACACGCTTTTCGGATGTTTTTCTGACCCTCATTTCTTCTCCATTGGCCACCTTCATTTGTTTGTACAATCAACATTTATCGACCATTGTATAAAGCTCTGAGCGTACAGACATGTAAGACATTGCTCAGTAGAAGCTTCGACTAGTGAGCCTCTTGCTTTTACCGTGTCATCCATTGGTAATCTATTTTTCCTTCCTAGCATTTAGCATGGCACTGGCATCATTTATGTGTGTGTTTTTGATTTTATTTTTTGAGATTCTGCCTTGTTCATAGCTGTATCCCCACTTCCAAGTGCAGGCATTCAATAAATAATTGTTGGCCAACTTAACATTTCTGAAGCTCAGACTACCTATTGACCTATTTTCCTTCTTTCTAATTTAAAGATGGTTTTTTTGTTGTTTTTACTTTTCTTCTCTCAAATGGTAAATGACAGAATAGTTACCTTTTGGGGCTTAAAGTGAACTAAATTTTTCTTCTTTGATTCCTTTATTTGTATTGCTTCATCCGAATACTCAGGTCCGTAGAGCAGAGCATTGTCCTTTTCAAAAACTTTTAAAATATTAAAATATGAAAGAAGAAAAAGCCATCCATAATCCTACCACCCTAATCCAATGGTTTTTTTTTAAATTTTTTTAATTACCACCTTTTCTATAGTTTTCATAATTATTGTTTTTATTGGCTGCATAGTATTCAAATGTATTAATGTAAAAAAACCTGGACATGTAACTCTTCTGCTTAAAATCTTTCTAAGACTACCCAGTGCCCTTAGTGACAACTCAGGGTTGTTTTTAGCCCTAGTACTAATTTAAGAAAAAAATTAATTAAAAAACTTAATTAGCTTTTTTTCACTAGAATAAAGAATGTCAGTAGAAAATTGACTTTGCTTCTTCATAGAATTTTTAAAAAATTAGAAAACACAAAAGAAAATCGGCTTTGCATTGCAGCCTCTGAGATTTTTAGCATGGATATAATTGATACATTGAACCAAGGAAGTGGCTTTCTAATCTTGTATGCCTTATGATCATAGACTTTTACTTCTCTCATGCATCCATATGTTAATTGTTAAACCTGCTCTTTACAAACGTGCATCGTTTGTAAAGTGGGAGCTAAATATTGAGTACTCACCAACATATAGACGGCAAAAATAGAAACTAGAGACTACTTGGGGCCAGGAGAAGGGGTAAGGGTTGAAAAACTAATTATTGAGTTTTTGAGTACTATGATTATTAAGTACGCTCTTTACATGCATCCATATGTAATTGTTAAACCTGCTCTTTACAAACATGGAAGAAAGACCCAAAGACTACTTTGCATGACATGTTCTCTGTTTAGATATTTATGCGGCTACATTATCATTTTGGTATTAGTAAGAATGTCACTTTAGGAAGGTTTTACCTGACACCCTGCCGACAGCCAAAGTAGCTTTCCATTTCGGGTGCCTTCTTCCTTGTTTCCATGTTTTATTTTCTTCTTGGCATCTATTACTATTGTTCACGTGTTTTTTATCTGTCTTGTTCTCTCCCGTATTCTCCAGCATCTAGATCAGTAGCAGGCACATAGTAGAATTGTAGTGAATATTTAATAAAAAGTACCTGTCTAGAGAGGTGTAGTTACCTTGGAAATACCACCACTGCCCCCTGTGCACCCGCCCCCACCCCCGCCCTGCATTGTTACTGTTTTGTATTAACTGAAAGGTTTATTTCAAATGCAATCTGAAATCAGAGGTCACATATTGAAGTCTGCTCACAATGCCACAGGACAAAGTTCAAACTCCTTCACGTGGCTTTTCAGATCCCTTATTGATAGGACCCTAGCTCTTATCAGGTCCCTTATTGATGGGACCCTGCCTCTTCCCTCTTCAGCTGTGGCTCTCACCATTTTATTCTTCAGACTTCCTCAACTTCTTTTAGTTTCTTAACCTGGCCATGCATGCTATGGTGCTTCCAGATTTCCACACGGTCTGTGTTCTCTTTCTGGGCCTTTTCCTCATATACCTCCCCTTCTTTCAGCCTTCAGATCTCAACTTGAACATCCAAGAAGCTTCCTCTAGACTGGACTAGATGTCCCTATACATACTATACATAGTACCCTTCACCCACTTCCCCGTCACAACACTAACTACCACATGGTTTTGATACGTTGTTTGTCTCCTCCATAGATTATAAACTCCTTGAGAACAGCATTCATGCTCTCTTGCTTGCCATTCTATCCCTTGGACCTGGTACATATTAGGCACTAATAAATATTTGTTAAATGATTAAAAGGCTGAATAAATGATCCAAGAAAGGTGTCTTTTATAATTAATTCTTTAATAACTATCTTGCTAAGGGCCATCTTTTTTTTTTTTTTTTTTTAACTGTAGCTAATTTTCAACCCAGAGGTCATTTTTATAAAAGCACCTGTTATCTAACTCGTGTTTTGAGCTCTCTATACAGTGCTAAGACTTAATCAGTTCCAGAGTACACTCATAAGTCCTAAGGTCAAGACTCTATACAATTCTGAAAATATTAAGTCTCGTTTTTAATAAGCTATGCGCCTCCCATTTTATTTGCAAACCTGTTTGAAATTGCATTTTGTTTCTGCATTCTTTTTGGATCCTCTATAATCTTGCCAGAATTTGTGTTTATCTTGGATGTAATGAACTCTCCAGCTACGTGTGTGTGTGTGTGTGTGTGTGTGTGTGTGTGTGTGTGTGTGTGTAGTTTAAAAGTCTTTATTTTTTTTGCAACTTTTATTTTACTTTATTTTATTTTAGATTTGGTACATGTGCTGGGTATATTGTGAGAGCTGAGGCTTGGGGTACAAATGATCCAGTCACCCACATACTGAGCATAGTACTTAATAATCATAGTACTCAAAAGCTCAGTAATTGGTTTTATCAACATTTCTGAGGCTGAAGGAGGTAGAGCCTGAGAGCTAAGTGCTAATTCCGTTTTATAATGATCATAGCTAATGAGGTAATAATGGTAATTATAGTAAGTCAGGCATTGTGTCCTAAATGTTATGACTTTTACTTGACTCGGCAAAATATGACTGCACAAAGTGAGGGAAGGCTGGAAAAGCAGATAAGACGTTAACAAATACAGCTAACCAAATATACATTTCTGTGACAACAGCGAAAAGCACACCGTCTATAGCAATGGAGTGACTGCATACTAGTCAGGCCACACGTGGAGTACTGCAGTCCGTGTACCACACTTTTAAGAGATTATACGTAGAATATTGGAGCTCGGTCAAAGGTGAGCCGCCAGATAAGGGTTGGTGGAAGGAGGCGAAGAGAGATGACTTCTCTCTGCTGATTTTACCTTCGAAACAGTTCTCAAATCTGTTGTCTCCTCTCCTGTCACCAAATGTCTTAAATCAGCCTTTATCATCTTTCTTCTGAACTCCCATAACACATTTCCATAATGTTTCTCTTCCTACAACGTTGTTTCCTTCAAATGTGTCTTCCACACAGCCACCATACTGCTCTGTATAAGACATAGCAGACAACCCTCACCACCTTAGACTATAAGCTCCTTAGGGTGGCCTTCAGAGCTCTTAATGATTGGACATCCACTCCTCCTGTCTAGCCTCATTTTTGACCTCTTCCTTCTTTGAATTTCATCTTCTAGCAGCACCAAACCATGTGTAGTTCCCAGCATATACCATGCTATTATTCACTCTGTGCCTTTACTCATGCCCTTTGCTATCTGGAAACCCCTGTCCTCCCACCCCACCACCGGTCTTCTCTCTACCTGATTTGTTTTTTTTGTTCATTTGTTTTGTTTTGAGACAGGGTTTCGCTCTGTCACCCAGGCTGGATTGCAGTGACGTGCTTACGGCTCACTGTAGCCTCCACCTGCCAGGCTCAAGTGGCCCTTCCACCTCAGTCTCCCTATCAGCTGGAACTACAGGCATGCACTACCATGCTTAGCTAATTTTTGTTATTTTTCATAGAGATGGGGTTTCATCATCTTGGCCAAGCTGGTCTTGAACTCCTAGGCTCAAGCGATCCACCCGCCTTGGCCTCTCAAAAGTGCTGGAATTATAGGCACAAGCCACCATGTGCAGCCTCCCTACCCGATTCTTACTCATCCTTTGAGAGGGTGGTTTTTAATATGTTACGGGTGGTGGAAACGTTTGAGTGTATGATGAATACCTTGGAACCACTCTAGAAAAATGTACATAATCCCAAAATTTGCATACAGTATCAGGTTTTAACCCCAAATTAAAACTTCCTTCAGCTCAGGCATTACCTTCTCCAGAAAATCGTCCCTAGCCCCCTACAGATTGCTTTGGTCTCCTTCTTTCATATTGTTTTACAATATCGTGTAATGTATCTCTATCATTGCATATCCATGTTATGTTATAATTATTTATGTAGTGTCTTCACTGTATTGTGAGCTTCTAGAGGGTAGTAACCATCTTACTCATCTTTGTATCTCCAGCACCTAGCATAGCACATGGGAATTATTACAGAAAATTGAAGATTGAATGCTGAAGAATAAACCATCTTTTATGTAGAGCACTTAGCCATTCAGCAATCACTTATGGAGAGCCTGCGATGTGCCAGGCTTTGTGCTGGATGCTAAGGATACAAAAATTACAAGACAAATATGGTTTTTGTCCTCATAGAGCTTATAACTAATGTCAAAAAATATTTAAATCAGGCATTACAAAACTGTATGGTAAGCACTTTGATGAGGGAAGTACAATATAGAATAGGATTATATAAAAAGAGCAATTTATCTGTATTTGGGAGGGCAGAGAAGGCCTTACAGAGGGAGTAAATAGGAGAACTGGGAGAGGGCTAGAGAGAAGTTCCTGTCGGAGGACATCTACAGAGATGTCAATGTGAAGGAATATGGGTCTAAAGAACCAAAGGAAATTCCAGGGGGCTGAACACGTGAGTTTGGTAGGCAGGAGGGACATGATAACAAACTAGTCTGTGCTGAGCTACTGAGTTTATACTTGCTCAATAAAGTAGTCCTTAGGAAGGCATAAAATCATTTTATTCATAAAGGTCCTAGCAAGTGTAAGAAGAAAAAAGTAGTTGTGTCGGTGTGTGTATATGTATAGAAGGTTGTATTTACTACACACCAGCTTCGTCAGCTGTCGTGTGGCTGTGGTCTCTGCCAGTTTAAAACAAAACTGACAAAAGAGGGATCCTGCAATCTCGTGGCTTTACACTGAGATAAAAACCACTTTATGTGGATTAGGCAGAATGATGGAGAAGTTAAGAAAACTGTCTGAAGAAAACATATGAAAAATATTAGACTTTCTACTACTCCTCTAATGTTGGTCTCAACTCCTCACTCCTGAAGTTTTTATTCTTTTAATTAATTTATTTTTATTTATTTTTTGAGACGGTCTCATTCTGTTGCCCAAGCTGAAGCGCAGTGGTGCAGTCATGGGTCACTGCAGCCTCAACTTCCTAGGCTCAGGTGATCCTCCCACCTCAGCCTCCCAGGGGGCTGGGACTACAGGCACCCCCCACCATGCCCAGTTAATTTGTGTGTGTGTGTGTGTGTATTTTTTTGTAGACACAAAGTTTCGCCATGTTGGCCAGGCTGGTGTTTTTTTAAAATACTTGAAATCAGGGATCTTCCATAAGAAGCAAATCTCACTGACTCCTTTTCTTTTTTTTTTCTTTTTTTGAGATGGAGTCTCACTCTGTCTCCCAGGCTGGAGTGCAGTGGCGCGATATGGGCTCTCTGCAACCTCTGCCTCCCAGATTCAAGGGATTCTCACGCCTCAGCCTCTGGAGTAGCTGGAATTACAGGTGCCCACCACCACACCCGACTAGTGTTTGTATTTTCAGTAGAGACGGGGCTTCACCAGGTTGGCCAGGCTGGTCTCGAACTCCTGGCCTCAAGTGATCTGCCCGCCTCCTCCTCCCAAAGTGCTGAGATTACAAGTGTGAGCCACTGTGCCTGGCCACTGACTCCTTTTCTATTTGCGACCTTCTCTGGCTCATATGATAATTATCGTAATGTAACTGGGTTTTGGGGTGCCGGAGAGGCAGAGCTCCCCGGAGAGAAATATTGTAGGTTCTCTGTGTCTCGCCCTCTCAAGAATGAGAGAGGGGACCACGGCAGGTACGCGGTAAGCGCGTAAATACCAGACCCAAGAAGTGTTGCAGAAAAGTTATTTATTTGGGTAAACAAAGAGAAAAAAAAGAAGAGAGAAAACTTCCACGAAGAGTGTGCAAGGGGACTCCAGAGGGGAAATTCAGGAGACAGAAAGACAGCTTCCAGGAGGGTGGAAAGGATCCAAACGTGGAAGGGATCCAAAGAGGTGCGGAAGAAGGGGACTTTTAACCTGGGAGAAACCCCCACCCTCTCCTAGACCTCTGGCCAATGAAAGGAGTTTCTTAGAACTTCCGCTGGAGTGATTGACTTTTTGATTCTTCCCTAGCCCGCGAAAATTAAAACAGAGACCATTAAATGTCCCGGATGGAGAGAGATGGTGGGAGGGGGGAGGGCATGGTCATGGTGCTGGAAGTTCTTGCCCTTAAAACTACGCCCCCTTGTGGACCCTGAAAGGGAACACATTTCCTCAATAAGATTGTGGGAAAATATGTACTTCTATTTTTGTCTTACTTAAAGCACACTCTGTAACATGGATAATTTCAAAAATCCAAGAGCACTTAAACATTTATTTCCAATGTCATGAGCTTTAATAAGTAGGTCTTACAAGAGTGGATCTTATCTTTAATCCCTGAAATAACTGTCTAATTAGCAGAACTTTTATCATAAAAGAGTTTCTGTAAAACATTTCTCAAAAGAAAATATATATTGACATTCTGTCTTTCTCCTCCAGATACTGTTTTTTGGATTTGGGTGGCTTTTCTTCATGCGCCAATTGTTTAAGGACTATGAGGTGAGAAGAAATATCATTTTGTTATACTATATGAATTTAGATTGTTTTAAATTGGGGCAAGAAAAATGCCTCCATTAAAGAAACATTATGTTCATTTCCAAGATAGGAAGCTTTTGCCAAATAAGTACTATATAACTATTAGATTGGAGAATATAATTAGGCTTAATTGATTTAAAAGGGGGGAAAAGGCAAGTCACATTTAGCTGAGAAGCTAGGAGCAAGGAATATCATGCCTTAGTCTTATCAGAATGTGCACCAGTAGCAAATAGTTATTCTATAGGAGAGAATTTAATTCATAATGTTTCGCAGATGTTCCCTTTCATTTGTCTATCTGGCCTTGAATTGCCAGTCTTACATTCTAAGTTAATACCAAAATCTTAAGGCTGGTCTTGTTCTTATCTTAAGCTTTGGATTCAGAAGATCACCCCCCTATCCTGGACATTTCCTAATTATAATAAGATCAGTGGTTATAGTATACCTTTGGGTGTTACCTTATTTCTCGGATGTTATATTTCTCAGATGCCCTCCATTAAACTTTCCCAGTGAGTTGTCTGAAAGAGCCCGGGATTCTGCAGATTTTCTTCTGCCCAGTACTTTAAGGACTTCCAGGAAGGTTCCAGAACCGATCCAGGATCTGCAGAGTGTTGAAGAGCCCCTCTGAAGATTAACCCTTATATACAAATCTGTCATTTTTTTGTCAGTGTGCAGCAGGAATTCTAAATGCTACTTCTGACCCTGTCACTTCATCTTCTTGTGCTCAAAACTCTCCATCCACAAGAGGATGCTGATAATAGTGACTCAAGATTCAGAAGTGCCACCTACTTTGATCTTTTTCTTTAGCTCCAGGCAAATTGCTGTTGTGGCCCTCTTTCTGATGACTTGAGAATTTCCTCAAAATAAGCCTTCTGACATGTAACCAGAAGGAGGTTATCAGTTCAGTTTTTAAACAAAGAAATAACTTCTAGTCTTTATCTGGCTTTTAACAGGTACGTCAGTACGTTGTACAGGTGATCTTCTCCGTGACGTTTGCATTTTCTTGCACCATGTTTGAGCTCATTATCTTTGAAATCTTAGGAGTATTGAATAGCAGGTGAGTAAGAGTACTGAATAACTCCTCTTGAAGAGTTCTGTGCTACATTATTTATGGTGGAAAAGCTACCTGGATCTCATAACTGAAAAAAAACCACCGTGAGGATAGTTTAGTCTCAGTAACTGCAATGATCACAGCAAGTATGGGTCACAGCCACCTAATAACTGGTTTGACAAAGATTATGAGATACCAGGAAAAAAAGGTCTGACCATTAACTCTGAAGAACTCATTGGAGTGAGGCTGCGAAGCCTCAGTCCTAGGCTTCACTCCTAGAAGCTTTATTTTTCCCATACTGTTCATGACTGAATCCCAGTAACCCCTTCACATTGTTCTGCTGATTGAAAAGCTCTGCCTGAAAAGATCAGAATTCCTCAGAGCTGCTTAATGATCTCTCTGAAGGCTGAACTTCAAATCTTACTTACTTTTTTTAAGACACTTTTTAAAGGTAACTCTTTACTCCCCTTCAAATAACAGACCTGTTAGTTTATTAGACAAGTCTGTTCAAAATATCTCTTGCTTGTTCTGCAAGCTTGAATATTTTTTTAGCCCAGCATTTATATGTAGGGTTCATCAGCTATGCTATGCAGACTTTTGTTATACTGTTTTATCACCACCTGGAAAAATATTTTAAGAATAAAGTAGTCTTTCCCTCTAAAGTTAGGACTCAGCACCAAGGTAAGTTCATTATAGACCCCTGACACTTGAGACTTGTAGAGAGACTGTACTCTCAAATCCATCTTTGATAAACAGAGTTGAAAACAAAATTTAAATTAAAAACTTGCTATGCAGATGGTTAATCACAAAACATTAAAAGGTTAAAAAAAAAAGAGAGAGAGAGAGAGTAGGGGGGGCAAACACAGTGGCTTACGCCTATAATCCAAGCACTTTGGAAGGCTGAGGAAGGAGGATCACTTGAGCGCAGGAGCTCAAGAGCAGCCTGGACAACAGTGAGACCCTGTCTCTACAAAAAAAATTTTAAATACAAAAAAAATTTTTAAATTATCAGAGTATGGGCTGGGCGCGGTGGCTCAAGCCTGTAATCCCAGCACTTTGGGAGGCTGAGGCGGGTGGATCACGAGGTCAAGAGATCGAGACCATCCTGGTCAACACGGTGAAACCCCGTCTCTACTAAAAATACAAAAAATTAGCTGGGCATGGTGGCGCGTGCCTGTAATCCCAGCTACTCAGGAGGCTGAGGCAGGAGAATTGCCTGAACCCAGGAGGTGGAGGTTGCGGTGAGCCGAGATCGCGCCATTGCACTCCAGCCTGGGTAACATGAGTGAAACTCTGTCTCAAAAAAAAAAAAAAAAAAAAAAAAAATTATCAGAGTATGGTAGCACACACCTGTAGTCCCAGCTACTTTAGAGGCTGAAATAGAAGGATCCCTTGAGCCCAGGAGTTTGAGGATCTTCATGGAGCTGTGATCACTGAACAAACTGACAGTGAGACCCCACCTATTAAAAGGGCCGGGGGGGAGGGGAATCAGTTGATAATAATGCTCTCTTGATAAAATAATAAATAACATGTGTCATGGTAAAACAGAAATATGTTCTGATTCTTGTGCTTTTAAACTTGTTCTTTAATAATCCAAACTTTTTGGATAAGCTAGAGATCCTTTGACTATAGAGAATAGACAAGTATTATTTTACATAATGGTTATTAAATTTTATTATCACAACCTGCATCTTTTACTACTGTTTAAGCAGAGCTTGGCAGACTTTCTTCTGTAAAGGGCCAGATAGTAAATATTTTAGGCTCTCTGGACCAGAAGGTTTCTATCACAGCTACTCAGCTCTGCTGTTGTAGAGCGAAAGCAGTCATAGGCAGTATATAAACAAATGAGCATGGCCGTGCTCCAATAAAACTTAATTTGTAAAAACAGGTGGCTGCCAGGCCATAGTTTGCCAACTACTTATCTAAATATTGATACAGAGGATTCAGATATTCTAAAGCTATAGTTACTGTTTTTGATAGATGATGTCCCCCAACTTTTAACTCATAGTTAATAACCCATATGGTAAGAAACATCAGTCACACTTTGGTGTATACTTCTTAAGTTTCTTAAATAGTTAAAGAGCATAAGAAGTAACATTGCCGGGCCGGGCGCGGTGGCTCACGCATGTAATCCCAGCACTTTGGGAGGCCGAGGCGGGCGGATCACGAGGTCAAGAGATCGAGACCATTCTCCCCATGATGAAACCCTGTCTCTACTAAAAATATAAAAATTAGCCGGGTGTGGTGGCACGCGCCTGTAGTCCCAGCTACTCGGGAGGCTGAGGCGGAAGAATCGCTTGAACCCAGGAGACGGAGGTTGCAGTGAGCCGAGATTGTGCCACTGAACTCCAGCCTGGTGACAGAGCAAGACTCTGTCTCAAAAAAAAAAAAGAAGTAACATTGCTAAAATCTGGTTCTCTGTGTGCTTTATAGAGGATTGGGTGTGGGTGTGGTCAGTGTGAGACGTGTCTTCAGTTATACCTGTTTTTTCATGCTAATGTTTCACCCAATTATGGAACGGAAATGTGAGCCTTGATAATGTAGTATAACTGTGTATTGACTGGATTCAGAATCGTTTTGAAAAAAGAATCTTGGCCAAAATATTTCTTTGACTCACCTCTGAGCAGAGATTGTATGAATTCCTATTCAAATATGTAATCTTGTTGGAATCCTTAATTCTTTCAAGAGAATATCGCTTTACTCTCAGCTCAAAAGAGTAGTTAAAATATGTGGTTCACTTTTAATTGGCAGTCCATATGCCAATTAAAGTTGTACTTGTTATTTCACACCCACTGCCTCCCAAAGTCTTTCAGAAGCTGAGTTGAAATACTATGTAGGATTGCCTGGAGGATGTCCAGCTTGTTTCCTTCCCTAAATGCTCTAAAGTAGGTTAATCTAGAGGAGCAAAAAGCTGTCAGTATATCTAGTCTAAATGATATTTACTCCCTGTAGGGTAGCTTTTACTGAATGGCTCTTTGTTTTGTGATGCCATCCGTACTAAGGAAGGAACAGTAAGAAATAGCTTTCTGAGCCGGGCGCGGTGGCTCACACCTGTAATTCCAGCACTTTGGGAGGCCAAGGTGGGCGGATCACCTGAGGTAGGGAGTTCAAGGCCAGCCTGACCAACATGGTGAAGCCCTGTCTTTAAAAAAAAAAAAAGAAAAAGAAAAGAAATAGCCTTTAAAAAAAAAGAAAAGAAAAGAAAAGAAATAGCCTTCTGAAACTCATTCATATTTCCCTGGAAAGGATGTTGTTGATGCCACTGTTAATTGCCTTTGCATTTTCTTTTTATGAACTCTTTGAAGAAATTTTATTGTAATCTTGGTAATAATTCAGTAACAATAAATTGATAATAATTCTTCCTTTGAGCAATTAATTTATTTTCTTACACTATGATTTTATCTAACTGATCAAAGTTTTTATTTCACATTGACCATTATAAAACTTAAAGCTCAGTTTATGACCTACCCATAGCAAGTTTCTAGAATTCTGTTTTATATTAGCCATCAGGTTTGGCCAAATATTTTACCTATCTGTTACCATTGTTGTTTCTTTCTTTCATGTTTTGTTATAGTTCATTTCATCGTCCTGTATTTTATTTGTCTTTATAAGCCATTTAACCACTTTTGCCTTTTTTGAAACAAGGCCTAAATAAGTTTAAAATCAGTAAATACAAAGGACACCATCAAGAAAGTGAACAAATATTTTAAGAACAAGAGAAAATTTTTACAAATTACCTATCTGATAATGGACTGGGACTCTTATCTAGAATATATAAAGAATCCTTACAGTTCAATAATATGATACAATTAAAAAATGACTAAAAAATCTGAATAGGCATTTCTCCAAAGATGATATACAAATGGCGAGTAAGCACATATGAATGGATGCCCAGTACCATTAGCCATCAAGGAGATGGAAATCAAAACCACAGTGAGATACCACTTTACACCCACTAAGATGGCTATAACCAAAGAAACAGACAATAGCAAGTGTTGGCAAGGCTGAGGAGAAACTGGAACTCTCATACACTGGTGAGGAAAATGTAAAATGATGCGGCCACACTGGGAAACAGTAGGCATACCTCAAAAGATTAAATATAGATTTATCACATGACCCAACAATTCCACTCCACTTCTACCTAAAGAGAAAGGAAAACATACATCCACACCAAAATGTATACACACATTCATAGCATCTCTATTTATAATAGCTAAAAACAACCCAAATGTCTTCAACTAATAAATACATAAGCAAAATATTATATAGCCAAAAGTAATGGAATGAATATTTTTCAACCATCAAAGGAATTATTGGTAGATACTACAACACAGATGAACCTTGTAAACATTATGGTAAGTAAAAAAAGCCAGTCACAAAAGATCACATATTGGTGGCTTCCTAGAAACAGAAAGTATTTTGGTGGTTTCCTAGAGCCGAGGAGGTTGGAGAGAAACAGGGAGTGACTCCTAATGGCTACAGGGTTTCTTTATGGAGTAATGAAAATGTGCTAAAATTGATTCAGGTGATGGTTTCACAATTCCGAGTATACAAAATCCATTGTATGTGGAAACTTTAAATGGGTAAATTGTATCTCATTAAAACTGTTATTTAAAAAGTGCTAAAAGTTTTAATAAAATACATCTTATAAAATGTAATAAAAGTAATTCATGCAAATCAGGTGTTTATATCAAGAGTACAAAATAAATAATTTCGAGTCTTAATAGCGTATATTATTGTTAGCATTTATTTTCCTTAAATTCTTACATTGGACACTAAGTTCGGCATCAATATGGTGACCTCCAGGGAGCGGGGGACCACCAGGTTGCCTAAGGCGGGGTGAACTGGCCCAGGTTGGAAACAGAGCAGGTCAAAACTCCCATGCTGATCAGTAGTGGGATCGCGCCTCAGAAACAGAGCAGGTCAAACTCCCATACTGATCATTAGTGGGAAAAGCCACTGCACTCCAGCCTGGGCAACAGAGCGAGACCCCGTCTCTATTAAAAAAAAAAAAAAAAAAAAGAAAAAGAAAAAAAACAAAAACAAAATTCTTACATTGGAATAAGATTCCTAGTGGTAAGTAAAACAATTGTCCTTCTACCAGCAATGGCGTATGTTGATATATGTTAATGGTATATGTTGCCTATGAATATATCAAAAACATAAACATTTTAATATATGAAATCCTGGGTTAAGATGGTCATATATACCTTTCAAAAATTTGTATTTTTTAATCTCTACAAATGAGTAGATTATAAGAGCCTGGTAGGTTTATTAGATAGGATATGTTCAATATTGAGTTCAAAGAGCGAAAGACCCTTTGGAATACTAAAGAGAAAGAAAGTTGCTGCCCCCTGTCCCTCCCAGTGACAGTCTTTGACATTTATTTCAGCTCTCGTTATTTTCACTGGAAAATGAACCTGTGTGTAATTCTGCTGATCCTGGTTTTCATGGTGCCTTTTTACATTGGCTATTTTATTGTGAGCAACATCCAGCTACGTAAGTATTTTACCCTCTCAGTCAGCACATAGACTGAGATGAGTATTTGAGGGAACTGAGATTGTGGATCGTTTCATTTCTACATTAACTTTCAGTAGTTACTGCTATTTGAGGACACCTCACACACAGCATCTTAAAAATAAATATAAAATAAATATTGAATGAATGGCACAAAGTAAATATTGAATGAATGGTTAGGTTATTTTTTCTGCCACAGCTTTTTCTACTTAATAATGTCTCCTTTAATTCATCCCACATGTTAAATTCAGCTAAATTTTTCTTACAGTAGTAAGGATGCTTTCACTAAAAATTATACTGTTCACCACTCATTTGCCAAGTGAATTAGCAGCCAAATATTAATTAGCATTATCTTATATTTTTAAATAGAGCAAGCTGTTTAACCTATATCTGTTTTTCCTAACAGTTTTGTCTCCTCTGTCTCAGTGCATAAACAACGACTGCTTTTTTCCTGTCTCTTATGGCTGACCTTTATGTATTTCTTCTGGAAACTAGGAGATCCCTTTCCCATTCTCAGCCCAAAACATGGTGAGTATATATGAGAGGGCAGAGATGGGGGGGGAAGAAGGTTCGTTTAATTTTCTAATGTGAAAAAATTTAATTTCTTGGGGAAAAAATAATAAACTCACAGGTTCTTGGGATCTGGAAAAAAAATTTCTGATTTTGAAGAGAATAGCAAGTTATTTCTCTGAAAAATGTCTGATTTTTGAATCACATTTTCTTCTTCATTCTAAGAGATAATGCTGGCTTTGGAACTCCTGTTATTCTAGAGTAGAAATTTTTGACCTTCATTTACTGAATATACTTCAAGGGTAAAAGGAAAAAGAACAGTGTCTTAACTCGTAGTGTATATGGAACTACAGCAGTATATTTGTATGTGTATTTGGAGGTCAGGTATCAATAAACCTTTGTCAGATTTCCAAAGAAATCTGTGACCCAAAAGGTAAATGGCCACTGCTTAAATGATGATGAAGATTGTCTTTAGGGAAGCGTATGTATTTGGGGAAAGGTGACATAAATGCTCACAATTAGTAGATAAAGAAAAGCTTTCCAAGAATCAGTGTCTCCCTTCTAACAAAAAAAGTTCATTTTAAAACAAGAAATTGGGCAGAGCCCTAATTTTTAAGCTAAAAACAGTGAACAAAAGTACCTCAGCTAACAAGTCCTTCCAGAACTATTTCAGAAGCATGTGTGAATCTATCTAAAAATATTAGAGAGCCCATCTGTAATAAATATACTAAAGCTTTCATACTGGAACTTTTTTTTTTTTAATATACATCTCTTTATTCACCATCCTGCTGTAGCTATTATCAGGGTTCTTATTGCAGAAAATAGAATCTACTGTAACTAATTTAAAGCAGAAAATGATTAATTATACAGTATCAGGCAATTTATAGACTTTCTAGGAAAGCAGGTATACAAAGCTTAAATGCTATATAGTAAAGAGAAATACCCAACTATGCCACAGCACAAACTGGAAAACCTCACTGAAGTCATCACTTGCCACTCAGGGTCTGTGACATCAGGGACCTCTGTCCCAGCTGTTGGAGTTCCTAAGTGCTATCACCACCCCTGCATTGTTCACTGCTGCATTTGAGGCCTCCTGTAGGCCTGGTTTTTTGGTGAAACTTAGGTAACATTTAGAACCCTATCCTCAAGGAAGTCTGAGAAAGAACTTTTGGCTTTCTAGACTCTGCAGTACCAAAAGAAATGCTGGAATAGGATTGGAATTAATGTTGAATGAGCCAGTGTCTATTAGAGAATCTGCCGTCCCTCCCACACACCCCTCCCGTATATTCATTGCCTCTAACAGGAATGTCAGGAGAGAAAGGTTGTGAGACTCTCCAGCAGTGGGGTCAGAGCAGTTTTGAAAAGCATATGCAGTACCATAAATAGTTGTGTCTTTTTAAATAAGAATAACTGTTTCAAAAATTTCAAATAATGTTAAAGGCCAGAAAACTTAACACCACCCTACCAAAAACATTCAGACTCTTAGGTTTGAAACTCTTTCACGACCTTTCGTGACCTGGCTACTGCTCTCTATACGTGTTCCGTCTCCAGTCCTGCAAAATCGTTTCAAGTTTCTCTTTTTTTCTTTTTCTTTTTGGGACAAGGTCTCACTGTCACCCAGGCTGGAGTGCAGTGGCACGATCTCAGCTAACTGCAACCTCCAAAACCGTCTCCCAGGCTCAAGTGATCTTCTCACCTCGCCTCCTGAGTAACTGGGAACACAGGCGCATGCTACCACACCTGGCTAATTTTGTATTTTTTCATAGAGATGGGGTTTCTCCATGTTGCTCAGGATGGTCTCGAACTCCTGAGCTCAAGGGATCGACCCACCTCGGCCTCCCAAAGTGCTGGGATTACAAGTGTGAACCACCATACCCAGCCTCAGTTTCTAGAGCTGTTCTATCAGCCTGGACAATCCTTCACCCCCAGTCTACCTAGAAAATGCCTACTTATTCTTTCTAGGTTCAACTCTTGTCAATTCCTCTAAGAAGATTTTCCTGGCCATCATTAGGAGATATTAATTGCTCCCACCTCAGGGTATTTATATCATCTATAAAACTCATAATTTAATGTTTTCTTTTCTAACTTCCTCATCAACCAATGAGCTCCCCGAGTTCAGAAAACTACATGTTACTTGTCTTTGTATCCCTAGTGCCCAGTGTGGAACCTAACACATTACAGGTGTTTAATACATGTTCTTTGAATCAGTGAATGGAAAAAATTGAATCTCTCCGAAGTGATAGATGAGTTTAATAATTTAACACTCTGGATAGGAATTTAGGAAATGCTAATGTGATCAGCATGCCTATGCCAATGGTCGAAAAAGACTTGGACTAAAGAGCCCTGCTAGTGTAGTTCTTATATAAACCTATTTCAAATAAACCCACAGACAGACAAATTTATTTGTGATGGTAGAAGTCAGAGAGAAGAGTTACAAAAGGCCCCTAGGGCTGCTGACAGGGCAAACACAGGGTCACATGCAGTACAAAGACCTGACTCTGACACCTTTCTCCAGCTTTCTCCTGTGTGCATTCAGCTCACATGACCAGTGCGGCCAGGCCATGCCAGAGGGAAGATGAAGGCCATAGTATCTATTGTTCTTTCATCAACCCCTTTTTCTAAATTCTGTGGGATTATCCTGAAAAGGACACTGAGGGAGAAAGCTAGGAAGATAGTTTCAGTTTTATTCTTTCCATTGTACTCCAATAGTCATTACAGTTTTAGGCCTGAATATTCAGGTATCTTAATTTATTTAACCCTCTAAGAGAAGTAAGGAGTTAGAAAAGTTTAGCTGATAGCTGAGAAGCAGCCAACCTTACACTATCTTCTCAGAGCTTTCCCAGGACTGTCCCAACAACCAGTGTGGTTGTTTATTGCTCTGGAGACCGCAAAAAAATGGGCTGGGCACACTGGCTCACATCTGTAATCCCAGCACTTTGGGAGGCCAAGACAGGGAGATCACCTGAGGCCAGGAGTTAGAGACCAGCCTGGGTAACATGGCAAAACCCCATCTCTACTAAAAATACTAAAATTAGCCAGGTATGGTGGCACATGCCTGCAATCCCAGCTACTCAGGAGGCTGAGACACAAGAATTGCTTGAACCCAGGAGGCTGAGGTTGCAGTGAGATGAGATCATGCCACTGCCCTCCAGCCTCCAGACAGAGCAAGACTCTGTCTCAGAAAAAAAAAAAAAAAAAAAAAACGGGCTTGGTGGCTCGAGCCTGTAATCCCAGCACTCTGGGAGGCCGAGGCAGGTGGATCACAAGGTCAGGAGATCAAGACCATGGTGAAACCCCATGTCTACTAAAAAATACAAAAATTAGCTGGGCGTGGTGGCGTGCGCCTGTGGTCCCAGCTACTCGGGAGGCTGAGGTGGGAGAATTGCTTGAACCCGGGAAATGGAGGTTGTAGTGAGCCGAGATCGTGCCACTGCACTCCAGCCTGGCACCTGGCAACAGAGCAAGGCTCTGTCTCAAAAAGAAAAAAATAATTCTTACTTATAATTTTAAAAATCTATAAAAGTACTTCTCGTGCAGTCCCTGTCCCTTGGAATGTCCTTAGTGGGAAAGAGTAAGAGAGATTACAAAAGACTGTAAGGAATGGAATCTGTGTGAGCAGATGTCAAAGGTGAGATGGTGTTCTGTTAGTCTCCTTATTCATCTGACTTTCCATGTATTAACTGGTAAATGAAGATAATGATGACTGACTCTTACTTCATAGAGATGCTGAGATTAAGTAAATAGTATATACAAAGTACTTTAAACCAGAAAAAGATGTGTAATGAAAGGACAAAGACACCACCACATTAAAAGGAATAAAGGTAGAGGGGGAATCTTTTTCAGTTTTTCGTATATAATAACTCATATTAGTCCCTTGGATTTTTCTAAGTTACTGAGTGATACTATAGTCAACAAACATTTGTTGAACACCTTCTATGTGCCAGGCAATAAGGAAAATAAAAATCAATAAGTCATGATTTCTTCTTGTAAAAGTGTTGCAAATTCAAGAGATATGTGGAAACTAGAATCAAGAGAATTTAGTTGAGGATTTATTCATTCATTTAGCATTACACAGATATTTATTGAGCATCTACTTTATATTAAGCACTGGAAACAAATCACAAACAAAACAAACTTGGTTTCTGCCCTTCTGAAATTTACAGTCTTGCGGGTGGAACTAGACAAAAAAGAGGTAAATAAAAAAAGAGTTGCCAGTTGTGATCATTGTCATCAAAGAGCAAACAGGTTGCTGTGATAGAAAAAAATGCAGATAAATTAGTGCAAGGAGTTAGATCGATCCTTTCTGACACAGTGATATTTAAGCTGAGATTTAAAGGACAAGACCAAAGGAAGACCCAGTAAGAAGGCACAAAAGACATCACGTAGGCCAGGCGTGGTGGCTCACGCCTGTAATCCCAGCACTTTGGGAGGCTGAGGCAGGTGGATCACGAGGTCAAGAGATCGAGACCATCCTGGCCAACATGGTGAAACCCCATCTCTACTAATAATACAAAAAATTAGTTGGGTGTGGTGGTGCAGGCCTGTAGTCCTAGCTACTTGAGAGGCTGAGGCAGGAGAATTGCTTGAACCCAGGAGGCGGAGTTTGCAGTGAGCTGAGATCGTGTCACTGCACTCCAGCCTGGCTCCTGGCAACAGAGTGAGACTCTGTCTCAAAAAAAAAAAAAAAGACATCACGTAAAGCCCTGAGGTAGAAAGACCTTGGTGTATTCAAGGAAAGGCAAGAGATAGAGTGGGGAGTAATTGTACAGTGTATAGATTTTATTGTTATGGTGACTCAGTAGTTGATTATGTCATTTTCTAAGACAGGTGAGGGGAAAGATAATTTTAGCTTGGTATATTCTGAATTTAAGTTACCTATGCATATCCAGGTGATGTTAAATAAGCAATTGGATGTACAAATCAGGAGCTTAGGGAAAAAGTATAAATGTATCAGTCCTCATAGAGATGACTCCAGGAAGCTAAACAACTAAATATCATCAACTAAATGCCATTAGTAAAGCTGAGGAAATTAGTGAGATTACCCAAGCAAAAAATGTGTATACTGAAATGAAAGAGATCTCTGGTCCATACACAGCAATAAGTGACTGAGAAAAAGCAATTAGAGAAGTAAAAGGGAAAACCTAGGGAAATGGTGTTGTGGAAGCCAAGAAGATAAAATAATTTTAAACAAAATGATCCAATGTCATACAAATGCCAGTTAAACAAGGCTTGGAAAATGGTGAATTTTGCAACCAGGAGAAAACTTATTACCATAGTGTAGTAGTGGTTAAAGCCCAGACTCTGGATCTGGACTGCACTTGAATTCTGTTGCTACCCCTTTTAGCTGTGTGACCTGGACTAAGTTACTTAACCTCTCTGTGCCTCCACTTCTTCATTTGTAAAATTAGGTTTTCAATAATATCTACCTCAGAGGATTGTTATGAGTGTTAAATGAATTAATACATGTGATATGCTTAGAACAATGCCTAGTCATAACAGGCGCTTGATGAATATTACCTATTATATTGCTATTACAATTATTAGTGAAAGTAATTTCATTCAATATAGAAAAGTGGAAAGAAAGCTGGATTGCAGTGAGTTAAGGAATGAACTGGAGGTGAGGAAAAGGGGACAATAACTATAAACTTTGAAGAAGTCTGGCTATTGAGGAGGAAATATAGACAGGGCTTGGGAACTAGAGGTAAACTCAAAGCCAAGAACAGAATTCCTCTTAGAAAAGAGACTTGAAGCTAAAGAGAAAAAACTAGCACAGAAGGAAATATTGAATATACAAGAGAGAAGAGGTAGATGACGGAACAAGCCTCTGAAAGAAGTGGAAGGGATTAAATACAATCAAAAGTATGGTGACTTCTAGTTCCAAGATGGTGGTGTAGAGGCAAGCTGGCTTCACTTAGCCCCATGACCGAAAATCAAAAACAAATAGCACCAAGATCATCACCAGCAGTATCCCAGAACTCACATGTAAGGATGAGACAGTTCTCAGGGCCCAGATAAGATCAAAAGCACAAGTGGAGAAGTCAGCTTTGGATGCTACTTTGTTCTGAGGGAGACAGGTTGGTAGGATAATTACAGATGTATATTCAGTGTCGTAAAAGAGCCAGTGAAACAAGGATTGGAAAATGCTGCATTTTGCAACCAGTAGGAAATTCATGACCATAGTTTAGAGTGAAGGTGGTTTGTAGTGGAGTGAAGGTAATCTATATCTAATAGCTTATGTTTTTTATAGTAAGGGCATTGGCAAAGGAGAAGGACAGAGGTAGGAAAAAATAAAGAGTAACTGCTGAGGAAAATGGAAAGAGATGGCTTACCAAAGGCAAGATAAGGATGAGTCAGTAGTGTGAGAGCTCCCTTAGGACTGGAGAGCGTAAATCTGTAATGGCTCCAAAATCAGCATGAATTCTAGCAATTTTTGGCAGCAAGACCTGGGCACAGGGAAGGCAGAGTGTTAGACTGATCCAGAGTTGGGAGTTTGTAGGATTAGCGCTTCAGAAGGAAGATGGCAGGAGATTGAGGGTCCTGGTGAGAGAATTTGAAGCCAGCAAGCCTGGAGTCCAAGCTAGGTGAAGAACGGGGAAGCAGAAGACCACAGGTCGCACTGACCTCTAGAATGAGTGTAGCACAGATAAAGAAGAAAGGGAACTTGAACGCTGGGAAGGGAGGCAGTAGTCAGAAAAGGAATATTAGAATTTTCAGTTTTGAAGCTGACGGAATTCCTGAATTATAACTCTGGCATTTGACCATAGGAGTGAATGGCTGAAGTGAATTCTATTCTACAAGTAGGAAGTGAAAACCAATTAAAACTATTTTTTTCCTGCAATGCCAAACTTCCTGAGTTATTCTTCAGCATTGCTTTCTTTCATTTATCCCAAATACATCAACCAGCAGTATTTATTTTAACTGCTAAGTTGGTTTTCAGCATTCTCAAGTGATATGAAACAATTAATAATTAAGATATGATTTATAATCTACAGCTGATGTGTTTGCCTTTGAATTTCTCATTCATCTATAAGGTTGGCTCATTTATTAGATGAATTCTGTGTTTATTGGATGCAAAAAAGACAAAAGCAAAAGAGTATGACCTTAGGGGAAATACATATATATCAAAGATAACTAGCACAAAGTATTTCCAGAAGATTTACTTTCCTCATTTTTTTGCTGCTGCTTTTACCGAAAGTACTTTGCTTTGTTAGCATTGGTGTTACCAAGAGTAAACAGTCGCCGGGCGCGGTGGCTCACGCCTGTAATCCCAGCACTTTGGGAGGCCGAGGCGGGTGGATCACGAGGTCAAGAGATCGAGACCATCCTGGTCAACATAGTGAAACCCCGTCTCTACTAAAAATACAAAAAAAATCAGCTGGGCATGGTGGCGCATGCCTGTAATCCCAGCTACTCAGGAGGCTGAGGCAGGAGAATTACCTGAACCCAGGAGGCGAGATCGCGCCATTGCACTCCAGCCTGGGCAACAAGAGCGAAACTCCGCCTCAAAAAAAAAAAAAAAAAAAGAGTAAACAGTCAATGACCGTTATTTATAATTATTGTTGTTATTGTTATTACTTTACTGTCATCACCCAATGAAAGAGATCACTATGAAGCATATGGGACAAGAGGAAAATCAGTAAACTTTTAGTATATTTGTTATAGATAATCTACACATTGGCCGGGTGTAGTGGCTCACGCCTGTAATCCCAGCACTTTGGGAGGCCGAGGCGGGTGGATCACGAGGTCAGGAGTTCAAGACCAGCTTGACCAACATCATGAAACCCCATCTCTACTAAAAATACAAAAAAATTAGCTGGGCGTGGTAGCATGCGCCTGTAGTCCTAGCTACTCGGGAAGCCGAGGCAGGAGAATCGCTTGAACCCAGGAGGCAGAGGTTACAGTGAGCCAAGATCGCGCCACCACACTCCAGCCTGGGTGACAGTGCGAGACTCTGTCAAAAAAAAAAAAAGATAATCTACACATTAATAATTAAAAGTTGGCGTGTATGAGTTAGTTATGTGTACTGGTTGATGTTTTCAGTGATGCTTCCTTTTACAGTACAGATGAGAGCCATTTTATCTACATTACCTGGCATTAATGTACCCTGATGTTTTTAGGGATTTTATCCATAGAACAGCTCATCAGCCGGGTTGGCGTGATTGGAGTGACTCTCATGGCTCTTCTTTCTGGATTTGGTGCTGTCAACTGCCCATACACTTACATGTCTTACTTCCTCAGGTAACAGAGCGCTTTGCAGCTTTTCTTTTTTGCCCCATTACTTCTTGAATACATATGTCATATTATGCCACCGTCTTTAAGATTATATATTAGATCTGTGACCCTGTCTTTTTATTCTTCTCTTCCTCTGTCCCTATGGGCATTGACCTGGAAGTCTTTGTAAATAAGTCTTATCACTTGTGTTGTTTTCCTTTATTATTTGTGCTACATTCATTTATTCTTTAAATGGAAAATTTCAATCTGACGCTCCCCTCCCGCTTTTTAAAGGCACATTTCTAGTGACCAGCAGTATAAACTAACCCCAACTTCAGCAGTTCAATTCCTCCTAGAAGTTTTAATAGAACAGTAGAAGACAATGCCAACTTAAAATTGTGCTTAAACATACATCCTAAATGTCACTGAGCCAAGATCATGCCTCCACTCCAGCCTGGGTGACAGAGCAAGACTCTTTCATAGAAAAATATGATGGGTTGGGCTGGACACGGTGGCTCATGCCTGTAATCCCAGCACTTTGGGAGGCCAAGGTGGGCAGATCACCTGAGGTCAGGAGTTGGAGACCAGCCTGACCAACATGGAGAAACCCCATCACTACTAAAAAGACAAAATTAGCCAGGCGTGGTGGCACATGCCTATATTCCCAGCTACTCAGGAGGCTGAGGCAGGAGAATCCCTTGAACCTGGAAGGTGGAGGTTGCAGTGAGCCAAGGTTGTGCCATTGCACTCCAGCCTGGGCAGCAAGAGCGAAACTCCGTCTCAAAACAAAAACAAAAATGATAAATATGATGGGTTGATGGGTGTGGCAAACCACCATGGCACATGTATACCTGTGTAACAAACCTGCACGTTCTGCACATGTATCCCAGAACTTAAAGTGTAATTTGAAAAAAGATACTTAAAAAATATGTGTGTGTGTGTGTGTGTGTGTGTGTGTGTGTGTGTGTGTGTGTATAAATGTCACTGAATCAAAGCTAAGAAAAACTGTAAGACAGCTGGGTAAATTCCATTTCCGTGAGATCCCAGAGGATTAGCTATAAGAAATGAGAGCAAAAGCATTTTAGTTTATTATGGTCATTTTATTATTTTCTAGAAGAAAGTAGTGGGTAACAATTGAAGTTTATGTGTCTCTCCAGATAACCTGTATCGTGCCCAAGAGTGGGACCCCAAAACATTTTACCAACAGCTTGTGCTTCTTGTAGGAATGTGACTGACACAGATATTCTAGCCCTGGAAAGGCGACTGCTCCAAACCATGGATATGATCATAAGCAAAAAGAAAAGGTAAGATGTCAATACTGTCAAACATGTGGACTCAGTTACAATTGCTCAACAAGAAAATTTGACTATGAATTGGTGCTGGCAGGGCATTTTATCCTATTCATTTTTATTATAAGGTGAAGTACTATCAAAGATATAGTGTTGGCTGGACACCGTGGCTCACACCTATGATCCCAGCACTTTGGGAGGCCAAGGCAGGAGGATCACTTTAGCCCAGAAGTTCAAAACTAGCCTGGGTACTATAGCAAGACCCCATTTCTTTAAAATAATAAAGGGCTGGGCACGGTGGCTCACGCCTATAATCCTAGCACTTCGGGAGGCTGAGGTGGGTGGATCACCTGAGGTCAGGAGTTCAAGACCAGCCTGGCCATCATGGTGAAACCCTATCTTAAAAAATAAATAAATAAAATAACAATAATAATTTTTTAAAAATTAAAAATATAAAAAATTGTTTAAAAATTTAGTGTTTCATGTAAAAGAAAATTCCCAATTCAATCTCATTTCTTGAATTTAGATCATTCTCCTTAGATAAATTATTAGAATAACTTTTTTGTTTAATTTTTTAAATTATAAATTGACAGATTATAATTGTGTATATTTATGGCATACAAAGTGGAATAATTAAATCAAGCTAATTAACACATCCGTCTTACATGCTTTTATATTTTTTTATGGTGAACATTTGAAATTTGCTCTCAGTGATTTTGAAATATACAATACATTATTATATTCATCATGCTATACAGTATGTCACAGAGAAAAAAAAGTACTCCTTATGTCTAATTGAAGCTTTGTACCCTTTGACCATCGTCTCTCCATTCCTCCCACCTACACAGCTTCTGATAACTATCATTCTACTCTCTGCTTCTGTTGAATTCATTGTTTTAGATTCCATATGTAAGTAAGAACATGCAGTATTTGACTTTCTGTGTCCAACTCATTTTGCTTAGCATAGTGTTCTCCAGTTACATTCATGTTGTCACAAATGCATTTCCTTCCTTAAGGCTTTGTAGTATCCATTATGAATATATGCCATGTCTTCTTTATCCATTTTTCTGTTGATGGACATATAAATTGGTACCATAGTGAGGCTATCCTAAATACTACTGCAGTGAACATGGGAGTGCAGGTATCTCTTTGACATACTGATTTCAGATCTTTTGGGCAAATACTCAGAAGTGGGATTGCTGGATCATATAACAATTCCCTTTTCAGTTTTGTTTAGGAACCTCCACACTGTTTTCCATAGTGGTTGTGCTAATTTTCATTCCCAACAACAGTGTAATAGGGTTCCCGTTTCTCTGCATTCAAATCAGCATTCTTTATCTTTTGCCCCTTTGATAACAGCCATTCTGACAGGTATGAGGGGATATCTCATCGTGGTTTTAGTTTGCAATTCCTTAATGGTTAGTATATTGGACATTATTTTATATATCTGTTGGCCAAGTGTATGCCTTCTTTTGAGAAATATCTATTCAGGTTCCTTGCCCATTTAAAAATCAAATCATTTGTTTTCTTTCTATAAAGTTATTTAAGGTCCTTATGTATTTTATATACTAACCGCTTATAAGACATGGCTTGCAGATATTTTCCCCCAGTCCATAAGTTGTCTCTTTACTCTGTCAGTTGTTTTCTTTGTTGTGCAGAAGCTTTTTATTTTGATGTAATCCTGTTTGGTTTTTCCCCTGTTTTCTTCTAATAGTTTTATAGCTTCCAATCTTAAGTCTTTTGAGTTAATTTTTTTTTTTTTTTTTTTTTTTTTTTTTTTTTTGAGACAGCGTCTCATTCTGTTGCCCAGGCTGGGTGCAGTGGAGCAATCTTGGCTCAGTGCAACCTCCGACTCCCTGATTCAAGCAATTCTCCTGCGTCAGCCTCCCGAGTAGCTGGGATTACAGGCACATGCCACCACGCCCAGCTAAATTTTGTGTATGTTCAGTAGAGATGGTGTTTTACCCTGTTGGCCAGATAGGTCTCAAACTCCTGACCTCAGGTGATCCACTGGCCTTGGCCTTCCAAAGTGCTGGGATTACAGTCATGAGCCACCACACCCAGCCGAGTTAATTTTTATTATGTTGAGTGAGGTAAGGGTCCAGTTTCATTCTTCTGCAGTTGGATATTCAGTTTTCCTAACACCATTTATTGAAAAGACTGTCCTTTTCCTAGTGTGTACATGTGGCACCCCTGTCAAAAATCAATTGACCATACACGTGTGAATTTATTTCTGGGCTCTCTGTTCTCTTCCCTTGGTCATGATTCTGTGCTTATGCTCATATCATGCTGTTTTAATTACTATTGCTTTGTAGTATAATTTAAAATAAGATAGTATGATGCCTCCAACTTTGTTCTTTAGTTCATGATTGCCTTGGCAATTCCAGTTTTTTGTGGTTCCATATGAATTTTATGATTACTTTTTCTATTTCTATGAAAAATAACATTGGAATTTTGTTAGGGATTGCATTAAATCTATAGATTGCTTTAGGTAGTATGGACTTTTAACAATACTAATGTTCAGTGAACATTCCAAAAATGAAATTAAGAGAACCATCTTACTTAAAATAGCTACAAGAAAAAAATACTTAGGAGTAAATTTAACCAAGGAGGAAGAAAGACCTGGACACTGAAAACTATACAATATTAATGGAAGAAATTGAAGCAGACACAAATAAATGAAAAGATATCCCATGTTCATGGACTGGTGGATAACTTTTATATTCCAAGAATGGAATATTGTCTATTGTCCTGAATTTTTAAAAAGTCTGTTGTCCTGGCTGGGCTAGTGACTCATGCCTGTAATCCCACCACTTTGGGAGGCTGAGGCAGGCAGATCGCCTAAGGTTGGGAGTTCAAGACCAGCCTGACCAAACATGAAGAAACTCCGTCTCTACTAAAAATACAAAATTAGCCTGGCGTGGTGGCACATGCCTGTAATCTCAGCCACTCGAGAGGCTGAGGCAGAATGGCTTGAATCCAGGAGGTGGAGGTTGCAGTGAGCCCAGATTGCACCACTGAACTCCAGCCTGGGCAACAAGAGCAAAACTCCATCTCAAAAAAAATAAAAATAAAAAAGTCTATTGTCCTGAATTTTTACAATCTTTTACATATCTGATTTAGAACTCAACTTAAGTACTTTTAAAATGTATATTTTCAAGTGGCATTTCATAGAAATCTATATCACGGTGGATAAAAGCATAGGCTTTGAAATCAGACTGTGTCTGAATTTGAATCCTTGATCTACATCTTAATGATGTGACCTTGAACTAGTTACTCTATGTTTTTCTGCCTCGTTTGTAAAAATAGAGGTAATAATAATGAGTTAAGACTTAGAACGATGAGTTAGACCCCTTCGAACAATGACCCACATGTAGCTAAGGACAACTACTGAACTTGTTAATAATCTCTACAGTATAATCATTTGCTTCTCATGCTTTGCCTTCATTTATTCATTTATAGATTCATTCACTTAATAATTTATAGAAAACCTAGTTCATGCTAGGCACTGTACTAGATACTAGGGGTAGAGTGATGAACAAGTTAATCATTTCTTACCTTCATGAAGCTTATTAGTCTACTCTCTTTATTGTAGTTATTATTATCCAATATAAATGGAAACAGGTTTTGAATTGCATGAGTATTTTCACATTTCATATTTCCTTCTTCAACACTTTTCTATAGTAAGACCCATAGTCAAGTCAAAGAAGCCTTAATGTAAGAGATAACATTAGAAATTAGAATGATAAAGAAGGCTCAGGTTTGCCAACTAATTATTTGTCTCTATCTCTGCATGTCTTTACTAGGATATTGAAGGTAGACACGTGTGTATAATTTATTTTATTTACATTTGTTATTTTACATGAATGTATATAAATGCATATTTTTTAAAATGTAACAATCAGAGCAAGATTATTCAAAAGTGAAAGATTTATATGTGAACAATATCATTTTGATTCCCAAGGCTATTCTTCTTCTCGCTGTATTTCTTTTATCTATATAAAGAGATGCATATATAAAAGTGAAGTCGTGGCCAGGTACTCATGCCTGTAATTCCAACACTTTGAGAAGCTGAGGTCAGGAGTTCGAGACCAGCCTGGCCAACATGGCAAAACCTAATCTCTACTAAAAGTGCAAAAATTAGCCTGGCACAATGGTACATGCCTGTAATCCCAGCTACTTTGGAGGCTGAGGCAGGAAAACCGCTTGCACCGGGGAGGCATAGGTTGCAGTGAGCCAAGCTTGCACCAGTACACTCCAGCCTGGGGGACAGAACGAGACTCTGTCTCAAAAAAAAAAAAGAGAAGTTATGACCCATGTCAAGTGTGGATATATACTTTTAAGCCATTTCATACCAGTAGTGCTTAGGAATTGACTCTGATCTGTATACAGTATATCCCATTTCCCCTGTAATGCATTGGGTGGTCAGATTCAGGAATGGTTTGTGGTCCAGCAGTAGGTTTTATTAATTTGAGTGGCTGACAGAAGATTCAGCCTCCCAACATGACCCCATTAGCACAGTCCTTTGCCCAGTGGAACTAACAGAGCACATAGACAGCTAACATGACAACACAGGGGCCCTTGGGATTCATACAGTGCCCTTGCCATTTACCACAATATGGAAAAACTGTTTTTGTTGTTTGCAAGTGGTTTTATACAATAAAAATTTTTTTAATAAAAAAGAAAAACTGTTTTTGCAAACACTCATGGTTGGGAAGAAGTAGTGACCAGAAAACCATCTTTCACCTTAACAGTAGAGGGCCATAGTGAGATGACATACAAAAAAAGTAACATTTGTTATGTACAAAAAAGTTAATGGTTGAAAATGGGAGGAGGAAAGAGGCATACATCTTCCTATTTGGAACAGTGGAGGAAAAAAATTTTAACCTCTACTTTGAATTCATTTTTTTAGGATCTGTTTGAAATTTGGTAGGGATGGGGGAAGAAATGTATTCACTAGTGAAACTTCAACACCAGCCACAGCCACTCTCAAATGATAATAGAGGAAACTTCCA